TCAATTATATGCTCAACTCACCAACTACTGCGTGAAAATTCTGCGTATATGTTATTTTATTGAATTGGCCAAATATTTTGGTTTAATTATGAAATAATTGTAGTGATAACAGGATTTTATAATGAACTGTGTTGACCGTGTTATTGAACACACTAAATTATGTGAATATTGGGCTATTATATGTAAGTGTAGATGTTGAGTGTAGAAATATAAAAAAATAAACAAATTATCGGTGCTCAACAAGCAAGGAGATATCTAGTATGAGACTGGTTGGGAGATAAAATTGATATAATAAAAGTAGGGGTTTTGGAACAAGCTCTTAAATTGTGCGATTAAGATGTACTCCATGTTTTATATTTGGGGAAAAGAATCTAAATATCCTAAATTTTGAATATGTGTGAGATGAGTACCTCAAACTTGCACATGTAATATATATACCCCAAACTTTATATAAAAAGTTATGTTAGCATCATGAGTATATATCTTATCACAAATGTAATTTTATGGTGTTAATTACATAATTTAAAATACACAAAACATTTATGAGAATGCAGTTAAAATTAAATTGTAATGGATGTAATATTATTTAGGGAAAAAAGTATGGAAAATGTATTTGTCGTTGGGCCCGTTTTCAGATAAGATCATGTGTTTCATTTTTATCAAAGTGATTCGTTTTTTTAAAAGGCCCAAATTTAAATGCTACACAAGATCCGAAAATCTTAAATATTGTACACATGATCAAAATTGATTAGAAAGCAAAGTGATGCATCGATGAGGTCTGATTATTACTACCTCCGTCCCACTAAGATTGGGACGAGAGAAGGTGACACGCTTATTAAGAAAAGTAGGTTTGTGTGTTTGATATTAAATTGATAAAGTAAGAATAAAGTTAGAATGATTTAGAACCACACAATCTTTACCAAATATGATATGAGACAATCTTAGTGTGACTCCCCGAAAAGGTAAAATGGGACAATCTTAGTGGGACAGAGGGAGTACTTTTTAGTAATGTACTATGTACGTAATTCACAAGCCAAGCTCATACGAAGTACTCCATATCACTAACTCGATCATCAAGTACTCCATATACGAAGTTAAGGGTAAAATAGCCACTTAAAAAGTGAGGTTTCATTTTCTAAAAGTAATGTACAACTCTACAAGCTCAAAGTCTTGACATAAATTAAGGGTACTAACACCTATTCCCAATTATAATGTTTTTAGATCATTTGTAGAATCACTCTTTTCGATATGCCCCTTCTTTTTTCCCTATGTGCCGCACTTGCATGCAATAAGTCCCTAACTTAAAATTCTTCTCATTTCAAAAGTAGGTAGATTAAGAATAGTGAAAGAGGATATGAATTATTGAGGGTATGATGGGAAGATAATGGAATAATGTGATGGAATGTAGGATAAGTCCAAAAAAATAGTTGTAATAGTGTATTATTTTTAGAATTATATTGGGGGTCGAATGGGTAGAATTAGAAATGGGAAGAATTTTTTATTACAATAGAAAAGGAAAGTGAGAAGATTTTTTTTGTTACGGGGAGTACATACTACTCCTTGTTATAAAACATGGTCGGGCCACATAAAATTTAATAAATGTCTACTTTATATCCAAACTTTTAATAATAAAGTCGGATGTCCCTTCCATTCGGATGTATCAAAAAAAAAAGTCGGATGTCCCAACGTAAGACAAAATACTTTTTAGAAAAAGAAATTATTTGTATTTGCGCCAGCTAATGAGATTATGAAGTTATACGGCGTATGATAAAGCTAATTGGTATACATTGTACAATTAATACGTAAAACAATTGAGAATATTGGGGCTAACATTTTAGCCTTTGAAACGTTATAAGTCGGTTATCGGTTGAGCTCCATTCAGGGCCGACTTGAGGATAGTAGAGGCCCTAGACAAAAAAACACTAAGTATTGAGCCTATCAAAATCTATTTTAAGTACCAATTCATAGATCATTCAAACGATTTTATAATCAAACCACTACATATGTAAAGAGTATTTAATATTCTCTCTTGCATGTACAAGCATAAATTTTCGTGTATTAGTCGTAACAAGACCTATATATTTTTTAATAAATTCATAAATAAAACAATAACGAAAAGGATGAAATTAAAAAAATTACAAGCAAAATAAATGGCTTTTTAAAGATCAAATTAAGTAAAACACCTACTTATAATTTTACAAATTAAACGGTTTGAGTATGTACTATTTTTTAAAATAGAGACAATTTTTAAAATAGAGTACTACTTAACACATTGTTACAAACTTTGAAGTGAGGATATTTTCTTTTGGACAGAAATTTGCTAGTCTGGTCTGGTTTGATTTGGTCTGAACTGGTGTTGTTTGATCTGGTAAATGTCTAGTCTCTATGTATTTTATAACTAAGAAAGTCTGATCTGGTCTGGTCCAATGTGTTCTGGTCTGGGCTGGGACTAAAACCAATCCAAAAGAAACATTCTAACAACAAGAAATTAAAAGCCATCATGCCCATAAACAATAATAACAGCAAGGCAAGGCAGCAACTTATAAGATACTAAGTACGCAGTATAATGGATGATGGATCTGTCCTATTTCCATTTTTACTTTTCGGAATTGGGATACCAGAATCACCGTTCTTTGCATCCAACGAATTTACCAATTGGAAGTACCCAATATGCTTCGTGATTAGCTCATATATACTCTATCACATATATTTACACCAATATTAATGTTTAGGAAAAACTGTCAATTTAGTCCTCGTACTATCGCGAAAAAGTCAATTACGTCCTTGTAATTTTAAAACAACCAATCAAATCCTCGAACTTTATAAAAACATTCATTTAAGTCCATTTACAGGTTACTTGTCATGTCAGCAGGTCACCCGCTGACGTGGCGCACATGTGGTGATCCACATGTGCGCCGCATCATCAACAAATTGCTGACTGGACTTCGACATGAGTGTCACGTCATCAAAATCACTGCTGAGTGGGCTGCCACATGTGTACCACGTCAGTGAGTCACCTGCTGACATGACAAGTAATTTGCAAATGGACTAAATTGAACGGTTTTATAAAATTTGAGGATTTGATTGATTAATTTAAAAGTATGAGGACCTAATTGACTTTTTCGTGATAATACGAGGACCAAATTGACAATTTTTCCTAATATTTATATGTGGGATACGGTAGAGGTAAAATGAGCTAAAGTATTTTCTTTGTAAGATATAGAAGTCTTTGTTTATGTAAGGTATATATGTACTCCAATCATTTAACCTCCAGTTTTAATTAGAGAGATAAATTCAACTTTATGGACATGTGTTTATGCATGCATGTATGTGTGCAATGTCATTAATTCATGCTAGATGTGCACCCCAAAACAACTAATCAATTAATCTTCTCAATAGTATTTTCTTTTCATTGTTTGCTTGTCACTCGTTTACTACTCCCTCCATTCTCTATTAAGTGTCCTATTAGGATTTAACACTAGGTTTTAAGAGAAAAATAATAGGGGTAATGTAAAAATGTAGTGGTTTTGAAAAGGTAGGAAAGAGAAATGAGTAAGGGTAAAAAAAGTGGAGGTATAAAAGTATTTTGATTGAAAAGACTTACCAATAAAGGAAAGAGAAAAAAATAATTAAAAATGTATCAAAAAGGAATATGTAACAGTTAATAGAGAACAACTGGAGTATTTATCAGAGTGATACTATATATTTACGTGTTAGCCATTTAATGATAAAACACAATGATTATTAATTGTGACACTGGTAACTTTTAGTGACTATAATTGTATTCAAATATTACACTATAGTGACTATAAAACTTACACATAATAAGATGTAGTTATATATTTGTCCATAGATTTTTTTATTGGTAATGTTTTAGGAAAGACCTCTAAAATATAATTAATCTCCTTATTTTATCATTTTATCTTTTATCTTCTCTATCTTTCTTATTTATTTAACTCTTTCATCCTTTGTATTTTACATATATTATATGATCAATATTTTTTACATATGTTCTCTCTATCATTTTTATCTTATCTTACCTTTTTCTATTTTTCTTATCTTTCCTATCCTTTTTTTCCTTTCACCTCTGATATCATGTATCAACAATTGATGTTAGCCAATTCAACAATCTTTTAAGATTAAGACTTTGGTGTTGTTGTTGTTATTCTAATATTATTAGTTATTTAAAATATACATAAGTAAAACTAATTCCACTAAAAATATTATTGAGCCAAAATATCTCAGTTCAATTAGGGAAAATTTGCGATTTTCATCCAGTAAATTTTGGTCCTTTTCATTATTAGTTATGATTTTTAGTCACTTGCAAATGTTGTCCTATAACTAATACTCCTGCCGTCCCTGAAACAAGTTCACCCTTTCCTTTTTGGGTAATCCCTGAATTAAGTTCTCCTTTCCTTATTTTGCAAATTATCTATATCAAAAACAGTATCAAAAACAGTGTCAAACAGTAAAATTTACCCCCCAGTAAATTTCTTTCCTTAATATGTGTGAAAAGCAATGGTGAACTTCTTTCGGTGACGGAGGGAGTATATATTAGCGATATAAGGACTTTTGCCCTGAAAAGTACATATTCCGGCGATAGTATAATACTCCGTAGTATATATACCGAAAAAGATGTCGTTGGCATCGGATTTTTCTGCCGGAAAGTGTACTTTCTGGTGAAAAAGTCATTAAATTGCAAAGATTTATTAGTTACATGACCAAATTTGTAAGTGATTAAAGTTACATGAGCAATAACGATATCTACCCGGAAAAATGGGTTGATGAATGATGATCACATAATAATAAAGCCAAATGTCTCATTGATGCCAAAAAAGAGCCTCACTCTTGCAGTCTTGTGTAGCTGGCAACAGCTTTAACTTAGCACATTTACCACCTCCCCTTCTTCTATCAAAATCACATACCAATCCCACCCTACCCATACATAGACAGTCACAAGCATATTGCCCTATTCTTTAATCATTATATCTTTCCACGTCCATTGCCTAGAATCCTAGATAGCCTCCTTCCTAGCTATATATGTACATCACCACTTTCATTTTATTCACACACATTATCATATACTACTGCTTATATATAGTATGTAATATATTGATCACTTCAAATAAATCAAAAGCCTCTCTCCCTCTACTTATACTATTTCTCACCAACCATGTATAGTGTTAAAGGGATCATTTCTTCTTCTTATTCTTCTTCCAACATTATTGGGTACTCAAAGATGTTGCTGGAGATGGGTGTGGTGATGATGATGGTGATGAGCTCTTGCATGTCTTGTGTTAAGGCTGGGAATTTCAACGAAGACTTTGACTTGACTTGGGGGGGAAACCGGGCCAAGAGGTTTGAAAAGGGCCAGCTTCTGACCTTGTCCCTGGACAGAGTTTCTGGGTCGGGCTTTCAGTCCAAGAAGGAGTATCTTTTTGGGCGGATTGACATGCAGCTCAAGCTTGTTGCCGGCAACTCTGCTGGCACCGTCACTGCCTACTATGTATATATATATATATATATATCTTTCTTTCGATTAGTCATATACACATTCTTTCATCTATATTTCAAAGAAAAAATCTCATAAATAAAAACAGAACGAGACACATTTTCATAGGAAGCAATGACATCAATGAGATAATGGACAAAATGTACTCCGTAACTTTTATACAAAGTGACTATATTACGGATTAGTAATTTTTGATGAACTGATTATGTTTAATTTTTTATAGTAGTGGACATGTATTATTTTTATAGTACCTCTAGTAACATTTTTTGTAATAAAGAACTCATTTAGATTATGATATTCTTATTAGGTCACATACATAACTCGTGCTTTACTCTAATTATAGCAACAACACAAAATTAAACTATTCCCGCTCATCAGCAGCATGTCCTGATGGATTTCTTGCTAACTGAAACTTAATTATTTTTATCTTTTTTATATATAAAATAATGAGCAGTTATCTTCAGAAGGAACAACACATGATGAAATAGACTTTGAATTCCTGGGAAATGTGACTGGTCAACCTTACATTCTCCACACAAACATCTACGCTCAAGGGAAAGGTGGGAGGGAGCAACAATTCTACCTCTGGTTTGACCCAACCAAGAACTTCCACACCTACACTCTCATCTGGAGGCCCCAAGACATCATGTAATATACCCTTACCTACCAATTCAAGCTATGTTGTCCCTATAACGCGTTTCAGGCGTTTAGGCGAACCATGACTAATGTATACACATTTTTTTCATTAAATGCATGTTGTAGCTTCATGGTGGATAACACTCCGATAAGAGTGTTCAAGAATGCAGAATCAATGGGAGTGCCGTTTCCGAAGAACCAGCCGATGAAGATTTACTCGAGCCTGTGGAACGCTGACGATTGGGCCACGAGAGGGGGGCTAGTGAAGACAGACTGGTCCCACGCACCCTTCACGGCGTACTACCGAAACTTCAATGCCCAAGCATTTACTAGAGCAGCAGCAGAAGAGGCTTCTCAGTTCTCTGATGGAAAATGGCAAAACCAAGAACTTGATGCCTATAGCAGGAGAAGGCTAAGATGGGTTCAAAGGAACTTCATGATCTACAATTACTGCACTGACTACCGACGTTTCCCGCAGGGCTTCCCTCCAGAGTGCTAGCTGCCTAGCTAGATTGTTTAATAAAGTTCATATGTAGTTCCAATTAAGCGTAACCATGTTGGCTGGATGTCGTGGAGGTACACCGCGGCATACTGTGTATGTGTTTGAATACTCATTAAATTTTGCTTCTGTTTCCAGCTAGTTCCATTATATTTAATTCCTTGATAAATCATTAAATATTGCTTTACACGTCAAGGAAAATTCAAGAATTTTTCTGGATACAAAACGTTAAGAAAAGCTGGTAACATATGGGTCTTTAAATTTCAGAGTAAATGCTAATTGCACCAGTAACTTTAGTCTACCAAACAGGTAATACTCAACAAACAAATGAGTAGAGCAAAAGGGGTACTAGCTGGAGTTATTGAGATGACGGGTGGCCTGGTACAGAGCAGCAGCAGCATTGTTTAAAAACTAAAAGAACCTATAGGATAGTAAATGTAATGTGGGGAGGGATTATAGGTTCCAGCTGCTGCTTTGCATAACTTCTGCGAACTTGTTCATATTTCGAATTAGCAGGATGTGGTGGCCTGCGCGAAAGATCGAGCGGCTTGGCTGTACCGATAATGATTTGTTGAAGCCGGACACAGTTTTCCGAAATGAACTTCACTACATCCAAATCACTGCCATGGCCGTGATAGCCTAAATACTTGAACACCTTAAGGTGTTGGTGTGGAAATGGTGTCCCCTCATTCACTTCTCTCCTACCCAATGCCAAACCCGAGAACAATGTAACCTGCACATGAAAAAAATAACGAGCAGTGACTTGATCTATCTGAATGTTTCTCGTACACACGATGAAATAGAAAGACAACATGCAAGCAACAAAATTCCAGAATATTTTAAATAAGGTAAACCTAGGCAGTAGGCACATATCCAAAACAATAGCACAAGGGAAGATAACTTGTACAAAAGCCAAATGATAGGAGGCAAGTAGTCAGGCCCACCCACCTTTAACACAAGTTCTTCTAGGTTGGGAGATATCCTAATGAATGTCATTAGTCCAATAAGTGTTTCATCATATGTTGTGCGAAGAATTACAACCAGCTTCTTCAAACCATGCATCTCAGGAAATTTGAACCACACAATAGCACATGCCTGCAAGAGACATCATAACCAACTGTCAAGAACAAATTATATTATGTTTTATAGCAGCAGCCGTAATGATTATGTGTCACCCACCTTATAAGTCTGCAGCCGCAGGGTAAGAATCTTCAATTGGGAAAAGCAGCAAAATAGTGCAGGAGCTAACAATGGAATTTTTTCTCTCCGACAGAGAATATCTAAATCCACAAGCATTGGAACACTCTCAAGCATTAGAACACTCTCAAACACGAGTTCATTTTTTTCCATAACTGCAAGCGAAGTGAGGTTTGGTGCGGATACCTTAATGGATACCAAATCAGAGCAATACATTACATACAATCTTTTTAACACGAGAGATGCACCACAAACTTCAAGATTTGATAATTGATTTACGTCTTCAAGAACTAATTGCTCCAGTAACGAGCAGTTGCACAAGAAAAACTTAATACCTTCATCACTGATCGAAACATAGGTCAAACACAGTTCTTTCAGGGAATTTAAGTTGAAAAGTGTAATACTATGGTGAGGGATATCACTGCTGTTTCGGAACAAGATGTCTTCCGGGAAGACATACTTGTTCTCTAATTGGTCATAGTCAATCTTATAAGGCTGAAGTTGCAACTCTAACTTCTCAACTCGTCTCTCAAAAGCAAACTCAAGCCACTTTGTAATGGTCCCATACCATGCTTTTCTTATACCAAAGCAGATCTTGAAGTGTTCCAAGGTGAGTGCCTGTTTACTTGGCAAAGATTTGAGGACTGAGTTCACCCATCTTACGTACTCGCGCCCCTCCTCACTGTCTAACTTGTAATCTTGTGCAATCTTGACCAGTGCACTGCTGGCATCAAAATTGAGGCGCGAGGTTTGTTGCCACAAGTTCTTCCAACGAGATGAAAGAACACTTGTGCGCCCAGCTTCTTTCAGCGGAAGGGAAGACAATATGACAACAAGAATGTCATTCGGCAGGCAACTTATGCCATCACAATTGTCGAATCTCTCAGCAGCATACTGTAAACCAAACATAACAAATGCATAACAGCATTTCGGACTGTGTTAGGGTACTCAGACTCAAGCCATATGTAACTTCGGCCAAACTACATTAAAAAGATTGAAGCCAATAGATTAGGCAGTTCAGTATTTGTGACACAACCAAATTAACTGTATGCCTTACCGGCTCACCCTACCATTTTATCTCTAATTCGCTAAAGGAGCCTCCATTTCCCCTTCAAAATAAGAGCCTCAAATTTTAAAAGAATTTGCAAAGTTTGAACTACCATATTAGCAAAGCAAAGCAAGAATAAATGAAAGCCTAAATTTGCAGCAGCGGCCAAAAAAGAGTATTTTAGTTTTAAGGAAAACAAGGCAGCAGCTTTTTCCAGAGAGCTTACCTTCTGTAGTTGAAACTTCGAATCATGAGTGACACGTGGCACACCCATCAAAGCTTGAATCTTTGAACTCCAACGCAATATCCACACAGAAATTAATTCACTGCCAGAAGTTGAGTCGATAAATTAAAAGACAGAGAAGAAAAACTTACTGCTCTTTGAAGCAAATCGTAAAACCACCTGCTCTAATCTTTACCGCTTTGTTTTCAAGGGAAAGAGCAGCACCGTTTTCTGGAGCTTGCCTTCTTCGGTCGGATCCAAGGGAATCAATAAATATGAATGATCTCTACTCTAATCCGTATGGAGGAACTATACATTATGTTCGGAAATGATTCTGCTCACTTTCTAAAAGTAAAAGTACATGATCCTTGTTTTTTGGGAGTGTTTGCTAGGGGTGGGATTTTGGAACCGGGAACCGTAGAACCGATTGGAACCGAACCGTTAATAACATCTAGGAACCGAACCGTTAACAATTAATGCATCATTTGTAGGAATCGAACTGAAGCGGGTTATAACGGTTCGGTTCCCGGTTCCTATAAAAAATATGTGCATGGAACCGTTAAGGAACCGTTATTAAAAAAATAAAAAATAAAATATTAGTAGTAGTAGTAGTAGTAATAATATAATAATATAATAGCAATAATAACCACCACCACCACAACAATAATAAAACAATATAAGATATTTAACTAACAATTCTAATTTAATCAACGGAAAAGAAGTAATAAATATTGTACATGAGGTTGATATAATACATTAAACTCCTTTCTACAAATCAAGTTTTGTTCCATCACATAAATTTTATAAATATAAAACAACCCAAATAACTTGTAGTTGATTGCACATATTTTACTTTACTATTTTCATGATATTTCTAATTATTAGATTTATTATGAATCAATAGAATGTAATAATGTTTTTTTATATCTATCATGCAAACTCAATGCCTTTTTTTATGTTTTGAAAGACTTGAAGTAAGCGTCCTATTCTTGCTACTATTATGACGAGTAACCTTCATCGCTCCGACACTACAACGATTTTTAATGTTTCATTTATTAAATGAAAATTTAAATCACTTTTGTTCTATTAAGTGTTCAAAGTTCATTAGTTAAGTTTGAGCTTTGATGTTTGAAGTGATTAGAGTTTCAAATAAAATTTTAATACTCGTGTTTTGAATTTTCGACGTGTTTAAAATTATGTGTTAATTCTTAGACGAGAAAAAATTATTCTAGGAACCGGTAAAAGGAAGAACCGAACTGTTTACTACCGGTTCGGTTCCATAACGGTTCTTGATTTTTTATATAGGAACCGAACCGATTTCATTAGTTAAAACTATTATAACGGTTCCACTCATTTTGAGTGAGAACCGAACCGGTCCTAGCCCTAGTGTTTGCAATTGCTTCAACTTTAAAGAAGTAATTTTTTAAAGTGATTTTGGAAAAAGTGATATAGTAAAAGTTGGTAGTGTTTGAAGAAAAAGTGATTCTGAAAAAGTAAAAGTTGGTAGTGTTTGGTAAAAAAAGTACTTTTGTGTAATAGAAAAAGTGAAAAGCATTTTAAAGCACTCTTCCACCTGTTTCCAGCTTTTAGCTTTTAAGTGATTAATTTAAGCAGAAGCTGTCATTTGAAAACACTCTTTTTAACTTTTTTAAGCCAAAAGCTGAAAAGCACTTTTTTAATCAAATCCAAACACTCCCTTAACGGGGTGTTTGGAACTGATTCTGCTTCTGCTTCTTTTTTAAAAGCAGTGTTTGCGGTTGCTTAAAAAAAGCGTTTTTCAGCTTTTGGCTTAAAAAAAGTTAAAAAGAGTGTTTTCAAATGACAGTTTCTGCTTAAATTAATCACTTAAAAGCTAAAAGCTGGAAGCAGGTGGAAGGGTGCTTTAAACTGCTTTTCACTTTTTCTATTCAACAAAAAATACTTATTTTACCAAACATTACCAACTTTTACTTTTTCAGAATCACTTTTTTCTCAAACACTACCAACTTTTACTATTAATCACTTTTCCCAAAATCACTTTAAAAAATCACTTTTTTAAAGTTGAAGCAATTGCAAACACTCCCTTAGAATCAGTTTTCAGAAGCTGGTACCTCCCAGCTTCTAAAAAAACTGATTCTGAGAGTAAATTAGAGCTCCAGAAGTGCTTCTGGAATTTCACCCAAACGCTCTAACTTTTGCTTCTGCTTCCTGAAGGAGCGGAATCAATTTTGAGAATCAGATACAAACACCCAAGTTGAAAATTTTCAACTTGTTTAAAACTATTTTTAGTATAATATGCAGAGCTACGTAGTATGTAGCACGGATTGGGAGATGCCAAAAGCAGAAACGTGAAAAAGAGTATATGGATACGACAAGTAATTTCCATATTAGGAAGAAAAAAAAGATACGACAAGTAATTTATGGTGTTAACTGTTAAGTACCATATAAATGTAACTTTATATAAAATGTTATATTAGTACCATGATCATATATAAAATGTTATATTAGTGCTATAATCATATACTCCAAACTTCATATATTAACTTAAGATACACAAAACATGGCTAAAGGATCAAATATGCCCTTAAACTGACTTAAAGTGTTCAATTAGTCCCTTATATAGGAGGTTCTTCCCGGCCGTCGCCAATTGGGGCGATTCCCAATGGAATTTTTTGATGAAATTTTTTGATCATCTTCTTCATTAAGTCTAGTTTACCCATACCAAATTTCAGCTAAAAATTCAACCGGGAAGACAGTCAAATGATTTTCCAAAATGTACTGCGCTGTTTAACTTTGCAGTCATCTTCAAAAAATCATTTCACTGTCTTCCAGGTTGATATATTAGCTGAAATTTGGTATGAGTAAACTAGATTTAATGAAGAAGATGCCCAAATATTTTCATAAAAAAATTCCACCGGGAATCGCCCCAATTGGCGACGGCCGGGCAGAACCTCCTATATAAGGGTCTAATTGAACACTTTAAGTCAGTTCAAGGGTCTATTTGACCCTTTAGCCCACAAAACATTTATCCTTTGAATTTAAGTTAGTATTCATGAAAAAGGCCTTTATAATTATGAAAAAATATGGGGGCGTTTATAAATATTAAAAATTACAAGTACTATGCACACTGTCACAACGAACAAAATAAAATGTATAATTGTTAAGTATTTGTCCCGGAATGTAATAAAATAATACTAAAAATACTATATAAGACTTTGATCTAATCTTCTTACCAGGTTGTCATTTTAGAATGAGAACTTTGATCTTAAAATGGTATCAGAGTCAAATCTAATTGTGATTTGACCGTTTGTTTAACACTCATGATTAAAGGTAACTTGTTAAGGATCTATTTGTCCCACTTGTACACCCGAATATTGTTCAGCTGAAGGGGCATGCTAAAAAACATTGTATAAGACTCTGAGTTACTCCTATTAGAATGCAACTTCGATTCTTAACAATCGAAAAGCCATATGTAACTTCGGCCAAATCATTAACTAAAAATTGAAGCCAAAGGTTAGATAGTTCCATAAATCCGACACACCCAAATTGAATCGATACCACATCCTACCGCAAATTTTATCCTACACTCGGGTGTACAGCTATACCCGGTAATTTTGTAATACCGTCAAACTTTGAGGCTTCTTCTCACATTCCATTTCTGTTGCACGCCGATCCCTTCACCATTGACATCGCCGCATGACATTCTCCGGTTGTAATCGCTTCGAGCTTCACCATCACCATCATCGCGACGAGAAGAGTTTTTCCATTGATACAGTTTTTCAATTGATTCGTTCGAGCCTCCAGCCCGTCAAGATTCAGTCCTCTATGGTCCGTCATCATTCCTCCATCTTCGGTGCTGCAGAGATTCTAGATGACAACGTTAATGCTCTGTATTAACTACATTCCGGTGAGATTGACCTGACAGATCAATTCAACCCTTGCGGCATCGCTCTCACATACCAAATGAGTATAACGCTTAAACGAAATGAGTATAAACAAATGAGGATTTGAGCACAGTAACGATTTCAAATGACTTTTTGAGTTTTTCGATACTCACTTTCTAAGTTATGTGTGTTTATTTGGTACTCACATTATGCTCATTTTAAAATGTCATATAAGTTCATAATTAAAAGTATCATATTACATTAGATTCACTGATTAAAATTCATATGAGTTAATTATAGATATAATTTAAGCAAATTTTACCAAGGAACAAAAAGTTATATATTTTACCAATAACAATAAAATGAATCAGAAGTTATGAAGCAGATCACGATGCTCAATAACACTCAACATAATAGGTCTGATGCTCACGAAAAGTTTATTAATGCTCATTTAACAGAAACCGTGATTTTCATCGCAATAGAGGAAGTTTGATGCTCAATGAAGATGTCGTGGTGTTAAACTAACAAATCTTATGATTTTCAAATGAAGGAGCATTTTGTAAGGTACGTATGATCATTTGGTACTGATGATATGTTCATTTTTAAAATGTCATATCAATGCATATTTCAAAAGTATCATATTACATTAAATTTGCTAATTGAAATTCATAGGAGTGGTTGTAGATATAATTTAATACTACCTCCGTCCCGTTAGAAGGTTCCCATAGCAAAATGGCACGGTTATTTAGGTGATAATTAAATAAAGGGGAAAAGGTGCAAATAGGCCCATGTACTAACCAAAAAAGGTCAAATAAGCCCTTATTTAGGAAGTTCTGTCCGGCCGTCGTCATTTAGTGTGGTTCCCGGTAGAATTTTTTAATGCAATTTTTTGAGCATCTTATTCATCAAGTCTAGTTTGCTCATACCAAATTTCAGCTAAAAATTCAATCGGGAAGGCATTCAAATGAATTCTTGAAGATAACTGCGCTTCTAACAGCGCAGTTATTTTCAAGAATTCATTTGAATGCCTTCCCTATTGAAGTTTTTGCTGAAATTTGGTATGAGTAAACTAGACTTAATGAATAAGATGCTAAAACAATTTCATCAAAAAATTCCACCGGGAACCACTCCAAATGGCGATGGCCGGACAAAGCCTCCTAAATAAGGGCTTATTTGACCTTTTTTGGTTAGTACATGGGCCTATTTGCACCTTTTCCCTTAAATAAAGTAATTCGGGTATATTTTGAGAAATAATTTTAATATGTATATATTATAATGTGTTAGTATTGATAACTGTGATGTTATGAATGTATTATTTTTAATATTTAATGACTAATTTGTCACTTAAGATTGTTAATTGTTTCCTAAAATGGAAATGGAAACCTTCTAATGGGACGTCCAAAAAAGGAAAGTGGAAACCTTCTAACGGGATGAAGGGAGTAAGTTTTTACAATGATATGAAGCAGAGATCGTGATGTTCACTGTTAGACTCTGATGGACTGTGTGCCCGGGGGGTAGCTTA